GTGAGTGGGTGTGTGTGTGTGGGTGTGTAGGTGGGTGGGAGTGTGGGTGGGTGGGTGTGTGGGTGGGTGAGTGTGTGAGTGGGTGGGTGTGTGTGTGTGTGGGTGTGTGGGTGGGTGTGTGTGAGTGTGTGTGTGTGTGGGTGTGTAGGTGGGTGGGAGTGTGGGTGGGTGTGTGGGTGTGTGTGTGGGTGGGTGTGTGGGTGGGTGGGTGGGTGTGTGTGAGTGGGTGTGTGGGTGGGTGAGTGGGTGGGTTTTGTGTGTGGGTGTGTGTGTGTGAGTGTGTGAGTGGGTGTGTGTGTGTGGGTGTGTGAGTGTGTGAGTGGGTGGGTGTGTGTGTGGGTGGGTGGGCGTGTGGGTGGGTGGGTGTGTGTGTGTGGGTGGGTGTGTGGGTAGGTGTGTGGGTAGGTGTGTGAGTGAGTGATTGGGTGGGTGAGTGTGTGGGTGGGTGAGTGTGTGAGTGTGTAAGTGTGTGTGAGTGTGTGTGTGAGTGGGTGTGTGGGAAAGGTCCTGGCAAGGATGATTCAACATCGCCTTGCCAGGCACGCCGAGGAGAGGCTTGCGGAGCTCCAATGCGGTTTCAGGAAAGGGCGGTCCTGCACAGATGCCATATTTTCTGTCCGTCTGCTACAGCAGAGGTGTAGGGAATTCCAGCAAAACCTACATCTCTGCTTTTTGACCTGGTCAAGGCCTATGATACCATCAGTAGGCCTGGGCTCTGGGTTGTTCTTCGTGCTTTTGGAGTACCTGACCCTCTGCTCACGATCATTAAGGACCTTCATGATGGTGAGCTGGCCCGGGTAAAACTACGTGGCCGGGAGTCAGAGCCATTCCCTGTACACCTTGGGGTGCGACAGGGATGTCCTCTGGCTCCCACATTATTTAACATCTATTTTGACCACGTAGTTCGTGAAGCCTTCAATAGCTGTATCGGGGGAATCTCCATTTGGTACAGATATAATGGGAGGCTGATCGTTGCCCGGGTGCGGTCAAGGGATGGCTCCGTATTGCTCAACCACGTTATGTATGCCGATGATTTGGTAAAAGCTGCTCATTCAGAGGAGGAGTTGGAGACGCTGCTGCTGAGACTGGAGCGTGCTACTAAGAGATGGGGCCTTACCATTAGCCCCACCAAAACTAAGCACCTGCCTGGGTATTTTGTACCATCGGACACTCCACCCCCACAACTCCCAATCGGTGATGGGGCAGTTGTGGAGAGAGTGGAGAGTTTCCCATACCTGGGCAGTGTGCTTATGACCGGCTCCAGTCTAACAGCAGAGGTCTCACTCCGAATCAGTCGAGCGGCAATATATTTTCATCGGTTGCGTAACGCTGTGTGCAAGCTACCTGGTCTGTCGCTCCGCGCTAAGCTTCAGGTCTTCTCGGCCACGGCCATTCCCTCCCTTCTGGATTGTGTGAGGAGCTCACAAATCCTTGAATGATCTAGGCACGGTCCCATCGGTGAGCTCCTCCGGCAGGCAAGGCTGCGTTGGCTGGATCATGTAGCCCGCATGCCCAGCCATCGCATGCCGAAACAGCTTTTTTTCGGCCGGATCGAGGGGGCAAAACGGGCGCGGCACGGGCTAGAGAAGAGATGGAGTGATGTGGTATAGGAGGACGTGGAGCTGAGTGGACTTGCCGATGACTGGTACCAGCGGTGTAAAGATCGGCCTCTGCTGAGGAGGCTCGTGAATGATGCTACGGAGGGCAGAGGAGTTACGCTCACAACAACGAGCGGAGCGCCGGGTGGCTAAAGCACAGCAGGTTGGCACAGTAGGGGGCACAAGTGGTGCATCAGCCAGTCATCTCAGTCAGTCGACCCGTGGCACCTAGGTCTGCCCCGTGACCTCCTGCCAGCGGGCGTTCGACACTTCACGTGGCCTCAAGGTGCACATGGCCTGGCACAAGCGTCGTGGTGACGTCACCGCCACTTTGTGGCGAATGGCGGTTGTTGTTGTGTGGGTGGGTGTGTGGGTGGCTTTGTGAGTGAGTGGGTGTGTGGGTGAGTGGGTGGGTGTGTGGGTGTGTGGGTGGGTGTGTGGGTGTGTGGGTTAATGGGTGGGTGTGTGGGTGGGTGGGTGTGTGGGTGGGTGTGTGGGTGGGTGTATCAGTGGGTGAGTGTGTCAGTGGGTGTGTGAGTGGGTGGGTGGGTGTGTGGGTGGGTGAGTGAGTGAGTGGGCGAGTAAGTGAATGAGTGAGTGAATGAATGAGTATATGAGTGAGTGAGTCGGTGAGTGAATGAATGAGTATGTGAGTGAGTGGGTGGGTGTGTGAGTGGGTGAGTGGGTGAATGAATGAGTGAGTATGTGAGTGAGCGGGTGAGTGAGTGGGTGAGTGAATGAGTGAGTCGGTGAATGAATGATTATGTGAGTGGGTGAATGAGTGAGTGGGTGAATGAGTGAGTATGTGAGTGAATATGTGAGTGAGTCGGTGAGTGAATGAGTGGAACATCAACCACCCCAACTCCGAGCTCTGCCGGGTGAAGCAGCGTCCACACCAACTCCACTGTGGCAACGATCGTCCACACACACAGACACACAGACACACATACAGACACACATAACAGTCTCTCTCTATATATACAGTCTGTACAGGTACTGTGTGTGACCTGTTAAGGCGGAGAGCGTGGGGCAGGGCGCGTGGCTAGAAGGGAAGAGGAGTAGAGAGAGAGGGGCAGGGCGAATGGAACGGAGAGAGAGGTGGGAGAGAGGGGAGAGAGAGGTGGGAGAGAGGGGTGGGAGCAATAGGGGAGAGAGAGACGGAGAGACGCGGATCCAGGCAAGGTGAGTCCTACACATCATCCCGAGTGGTATTCACGCACACAACACACTAAGACCCCCCCGTATAGCCTTAACCGTCAGCAGCACGGCACACGAGGGGGTGGGTGGCCAGCACCACGCCCGACCGCCTTTGTCTCCCGAGTGGCGAAGTTCACACACCGCACCAGGTACTACTCATTTGAGGCTGAGTCGACCTAGGGGAGGCCCGGGACCGGTTTATATAATCGTCACTGGTGTTGGCCGTGAGCGGGAATCGAACCCGGGTCGCCAGGTTCATAGCGCAGCGTAGCGCTAACCGCTACACTATCGCTCCCACACTATAACAGGTCCCTGCAGGGTGGGCTGGTAGGACAAGTCTCTGCGCTGTCTATTGCCGATTTTACACCCAACAGCACGAGATTTCACTTCGTTAAAGTATTGAAAGGGGACGGACGGACGGACACATTAATCTATTGCAGGCTGGTACACTCAGTTTACAACTTCGTTCCTACCAGTATCACACACACTACATCACACACACGACATCACACACACTACATCACACACACTACATCACACACACTACATCATACACACACTACATCACACACACGACATCACACACACTACATCACACACACTACATCACACACACTACATCATACACACACTACATCACACACACGACATCACACACACACACTACATCACACACACTACATCACACACACAACATCACACACACACACTACATCACACACACTACATCACACACACTACATCACACACACACACTACATCACACACACGACATCACACACACGACATCACACACACACTACATCACACACACACACGACATCACACACACTACATCACACACACAACATCACACACACTACACCACACACACAACATCACACACACTACATCACACACACTACATCACACACACACACTACATCACACACACAACATCACACACACTACACCACACACACCGCTGTGTACGATAGCTGCGTCCCTCCAATCTCTACCACTTAGCCAGCAAGAGGCTCACGAGCATCAGAGCGATCTCCTCCTCCATCGATGCTCATCGCTTTGTTTACAGCCCTGCAGAGTCCCCCCGCCCCCCCCCCCCCGCCAAAAACCCTCCTAGTTAGGAACTTCCACGTTCCTCTGGCGGTGACAAGTCCATCCCATGGATCGTTTTATCGATCCCCCGTCGTGTGCCATGCCGGCCTTCATAGGCGCTGCTACTCGCAAAACAGCATTCTGTGAAGGCTCCTCTACACGTGATCTTAGTGTCTGTTACGTGTGTGGGGAGCGGTGGTGTAACGGTTAGCGCTACGCTGCGCTCCCAACCCGGCGACCCGAGTTCGATTTGCCGATCACGGCCACCGACAGCATCAGTGGCGATGATCTGAATGGGTCCTCGGCCTCGCCTAGGTCGACTCAGCCTCAAATGAGTACCCGAAGCGTCGTGTGAACATCGCCAGTGGTGAAACAATTGCGTGGAGACATCGTCGTCACGTTGCTCTTCATCCACCAGTGTGTAGACCATGGTGTGATGAGTGTGGATGTGAGAGGTGAGCATCGCTCTCTCACGGTCACAATCGACGCTCCGTCTAACGTCTGTGCACCGCGTGGGCTCTGTCGGGTGGTGGAGGGTCTCACGACACAGATTTGGCCAGATCCTTACGAGGCTTTCTAATCCGAATATGAATGATCATTGTATGAGTGATACCCTGTGAACCTTGTTTAATTGTCATTTCCCCCGCACACACTACAAACACACACTGCACACACAAACACTACACACACAAAACACAACACACAATACATATACACTATACACACTCCACACACTGCACACACTACACATACTACACACTACACACACACCATACACACTACACACATGCACATGCACTACACACACTACACACACACGCTACTCACTACACACATACACTACACACATACACTACACACACTACACACATACACCATACACACACTACACACACTACACACATGCACTACACACACTACACACACACGCTACTCACTACACACATACACTACACACATACACTACAAACACTACACACATACACCATACACACACTACACACATACACTGCATACACTACACACACTACACACACACTGCACACATACACTACACACACTACACACTACACTCATACACTACACACACTACACACATACACTACACACACTACACACACACAACACACATACTATTCAACACACACTTCTACACACGCAAGTGTACACACAGCTGCATACAGAGGTACACACGCCTACCCGTGCCACCTCCCATACCCGTGCCACCTCCCATACCCGTGCCACCTCCTCCCTTATATACCCGTGCCACATCCCATACCCGTGCCACCTCCTTCCTCCAATACCCGTGCCACCTTCCTTCCAAACCCGTGCCACCTTCTATACCTGTGCCGCCTGCCCCTACCCGTGCCACCTCCCTCCCATACCACCTCCACCCTCCTATACCCGTGGCACCTCCCTACCCGTGCCACCACCCCTACCCGTGCCACCTGCTCCCTCCCCTCCCCTACCACCTCCTCCTTCCCCTACTACCTCCTCCCTCCAATAACAGTGCCACCTCCTCTACCCGTGCCACAATCATCTCCTCCCTCCCCTACCCGTGCCACCACCTCCTCCCTCCCATAACCGTGCCACCTCCTCTACCCGTGCCACAACCATCTCCTCCCTCCCCTACCCGTACCACCACCTCCTCCCTCCCCTACCCGTGCCACCTCCCCTACCCGTGCCACAACCATCTCCCTCCCCTACCCGTGCCACCACCTCCTCCCTCCCCTACCCGTGCCACCTCCCCTACCCGTGCCACCACTTCCTCCCTCCCATAACCGTGCCACCTCCTCTACCCGTGCCACAGCCATCTCCTCCCTCCTCTACCCGTGCCACAGCCATCTCCTCCCTCCCCTACCCGTGCCACCTCCCCTACCCGTGCCACCATCCCCTACCCGTGGCAGCGCCAGGCATGGGCTCGATGGGGAGCGAGGTGCTGGGCTTGGTGCTGTGCTTGCTGGGGTTGGTGGGCCTCGTGGTGAGCACGGTGTGCGATGAGTGGAAGACGACGTCACGCGGCGCGGCCGTCATCGTCACCACGTGGATCTACCAGGGCCTGTGGAAGATGTGTGCCGGGAACGCCATGGGATCCGTCACCTGCAAGAGAAACTTCACCCTGATGGGGGTGCCGCGTGAGTGGGGGGGGGGGTGCTAGGTGGGGGTGGGGTGTTAGGTGGGGGTGGGGGGTGCTAGGTGGGGGTGGGGGGTGCTAGGTGGGGGGTGGGGGGTGCTAGGTGGGGGTGGGGGGTGCTAGGTGGGGGTGGGGGGTGCTAGGAGGGGGGGTGGGGGGTGCTAGGTGGGGGGTGCTAGGAGGGGGGTGGGGGTGCTAGGTGGGGGGTGCTAGGAGGGGGTGGGGGGGTGAGGGGGTGGAGGGTGTTAGGAGGGGGTTGGGGGGTGTACTAGGAGTACTTTGGGGGTACCGTGTCAAGGTGTGCCATCATCACCATCATCGCCATCACCACCATCGTCATTGCCATCATCACCACCACCATCCCCACCTCCACCAACACCATGACCACCACCGCCACCATCATAATAATGCAATTTGTAACGCACGGAAACTTGCGGACGTAATGGCCGCTACTCAGGGACGCGGGGCCAAGCCCAGAGTCACTCTGAAGTGTGGGTGTAGAAGTGAGTTTGTAAGTGTCTCTTGAAGGAGACGAATGAGGTGATGCTGCCAACGTGCAGACGGAAGCCGTTCCAGACTGCTGGGGCAGCCCCCGAGAAGCGGCTCATAGCCGTGACTGCCCTGGATCTTGGTTTCGAGAGGAGGCCGTGAGTCGCACTCCGACGGCGTCTGCCGTGCTGCAAGTCGTCAGTAATGAAGACAGGTACGGGGGGCAGGCAGATGTGAAGGCGCGGTGGCAGGCGATCCGGTACGTGACCCTGCTGGTGACGGGTAGCCAGTGGAGGGCACGGAGTCAGGCCAAGTCAGTCGAGTCGGGGATGAGTGCGGCCAATGACGACGATTGCCAGGTGGTTTTGCAGTCTGTGAAGTTTTTCGGGGTTGCCAGAGGAGGGCCGGACGAGGACGGAGTTGCGACAGTCGAGGCGAGACCCAACCATGCAACGCGCCAATGTGTTGGCAGTTTCAGTGGAGATGAGAGGGCGTACGTGTCTGAGAGCCTTCAGGTGAACGTTTCAGGAACTGAAGATTTGATTGGTTTGGCGTTCGAAGGATAAAGTTCAAAAGGATGATACCAAGGAAAGTTGAAGTGATTGGTGAACCTGATGGTGTGACCAAAGATGTGTATGTGTGTTGAGTCGAGACGTTGCCTGGTACCCAACATGATGGCCTACTGACTTTGAAGGATTGAGGGCAAGGTTGTTTCCAGAGAACCACTTGCAGGGCAGTGGTTCCTTCCCGAGAGCCTCTCAAATCCAGACGCATTGGGGGAATTGATGGCGGTGAAGAGAATAGTGTCGTCCGCATACGAGTGGTGCTTGCCACCGAAGCTTGCGATGAGGCTGTGAACAGCAGGGGACCGAGGATGGAGCCCTGGGGGACGCCACACGACGCTTCTGTTTCAGGAGATGTGGACATGCCCACCCTGACTGAGGATTGCCGATAAGAAAGGTACGACAGCGTCCACTTGAGTGCTGAGCCACATATACCGAAGTCGTATTTCAGGAGGGAAGTAAGGAGCGAGTGGTTGACGGTGTCAGAGGCCGATGAAATGTCCAGACTTACGAGAGCAACGATGGAGCCGGAGTCAATGATCATGAAAATGTCATCGAGGGCTCTGGCGAGTGCTGTTTCTGTGGAGTAGTTTTGACGGTAAGCTGACTGGCAGGAGCAGTAGTTTGGGGAGGAGGTGACGTGGGGTTTGAGCTGGGCGAGGGCTGAGTCTTTCGAGGAGTTTAGAAAGATTCGAGAGATGAGTGATGGGACGATAGCTAGACGGCTCATCAGGGTCGTGACTTGTTTTCTTTAACATGGGGAGGGGGGACCAGGCCAGATTTGAGGTTGGATGGAAACCCCGTAGAGAATGAGGCGTCTGCGATGTTCCTGATCATGATGGCGAGTTCCGGAGCACATTGCTTGAACAAGGAACCTAGGAGGACATCGAGTGGCGATTACTTCTTGTGAAGTGATTGAATCAAAGAGAAAACGTCTTTTGAAAACACCGGCTTGAACGTGGTTAGAAAGGTGTTTGGGTGAGTGCTTACAATTTCAGGAAAAGAGAGAAGGGTACGTTGGTGCGATGTGAGGGAAGACGTGGAGGAGCTTACGATGGTGATCAGCTTGTTGGTGAAGTAAGTTTTGAAAGAGGTGGCAGGTTTGAATGAGGCCAGGGGATTGCTAAGGTGAGGGACCATGTTGCTACCAGGATGTAGAAGATCCTTGAGGATTTTCCAAAGGATGCGTGGGTTTCCGGTAGCTGTTTTGATGCGTTCTGCAATGTAGGAGGAACGAGAGGCAAGGATAAGCTCGTTGGTTTTCCTGCAGGCAGCTCTGTAGGTAACTCGATCAGCAGGAAGACCACTGCGGGACGCGATCCTTTGAAGGCATCTCCTGATTCGCTTAGCAAGGATGGCGTCTCTTGAGAGCCAGCGAGCGTCGTGGGAAGGCTGCCACGTGGTTCGTGGTTTTAATGGAGCCAGCTTGTCCAGCGCCGCCCTCAGCTCAGCTTCTAGCTGAAGAGCGCAGACAGTTGGCTCGGATGATGGGGATAACATTGAAGGCGAATTTTGCGAGGAGGTGCTGTAGAGTGGAAAACTTGACACCCTTGAAATTACGGGAGTGGCAGGTGATTTTGATGGTGAGTGGCTTGGGAATTTGGAGGGGAAATAGGATGAGGTGGTGGTCGGAGTAACCAGTTTGGAAAACTCCTAGTGGAGAGATGTGATGATCCAGGTCAGGTTCCAGAACCAGGTGGAGCATACGCTCAACATTTGTTAAGGAAGCTCTGGTGGGGCCCGGGTTGGTGAGGACCAGGTTATGGCAGGCCAAGGTTGACGCGAGGTGGCTATCAATGGAAGCTGAAGTATTGCCGGGGCAGTTAAAGTCTCCAGTAAGCACCAGCCTGTGAGATGGGTTAGGAATGAGATAAAAGATATCGTAACGCTCGTTTAAGAAGGTAGCGATGCTGTCATCTGGAGGACGATGGATGGAAAAGAGGGAAAAGCACTCGGTGTTAGTAGTGAGGGACACAGACTGGACCTCAAAGATGGCGGGAGCCATCGGTAGATAGAGCTCTTTAATTTTCAAGTCAGCATTGTAGACGACCGCTAAGCCACCACCCCGCTGGTTAGTCATGCGAGGTTTGTGAAGAACCTTGTATCCCAGGGGCACGGCTTCCAAAGAGATGGCTGGCGGGGAGTCTGGCCTGCACCAGGTCTCCGTAATAAGCAAAATGTTGATGTGGTGGTCCGTGATGGTATCCTGAATGAGGGCTGATTTGTTGGTAATGGAGCATGAGTTGAGTAGGCCGAGGCGGATGGGTAAGGGTGGGTGTGAAGATCCAAAGAGGCTCGGCGTCGAGAGGTCAAAGGAAATAGCTGGTTGAAGGTTGACCTGTGACCAGCGGCCCCTACCGCCTCTGCAACCACGGTGCCGATGCAGTCTCTGACGTTGATCGCGAAGAAGCCCGAGGCCAAAGAGCGTCCTTAGGAGCGTGGATTCAAGGTGCAGGTGGTGAGGAGATGGTGCACGTCGAAGCCCTATTATATCAGCCCACGCTGTATGGGTGGTGGTGTTGGGGGGCCAGGATTCGGGTGGACTCCGATCAGCGGCTGTGCGGCCCAGAGCAGAAATGCGAGATAGTGGTGGCCAAGATACACGCCGTCAGCACGCGCTCCCACACACGTGGCGGGTGCGTACACGCCTACGTAAACACTCGTTGAGCACATACGCCGGCGGACATGACCACGCACGCGGCGCGTACGATGGAGCGGCCGGAAGAACACGAGGTCCAGTGGAGTAGCTGACCGCGCGCTGTGCTCCAGCTCGCAGGTGATGCAGCAGGGTGGGACGAACCTCGCCGAGCTCCCATTCGCTGGTGGTGCTGGGCAGCAGGCAAACCCACTCTCTCGTGTTGAGCGGTGGACAATCTGCGTCACGTTCCCACTTGCTGGTGGTGATGAGCAGTGAATGGACCACGCCGAGCTCCCACTCGCTGATAGGGGCGGAATAGGTGCCTTGTGAGCACGTCTCTGGCAGAAATCGGACCCGGGGAGGCTGATGAGCCGCACTGCATGAACAGTGCAGCCCCGGCGTCCTCCAGCATCGTGCATGGCCTCGTTCGCCGGCACAGCCCCTGAGCTGTGCGAGGCGGCAGGTAAGCCGGGCTGCGCGACACTGCAGCCGGCAGCTGTCAGCTGTTGCAGCGCTGCGGGGCGTCTGCAGTGCGCCACTAAAGTAATGATCAAACAAAATAAATAATAAGAAAGAAGATGTAGCGAACAATTAAAGTAAGAAGAGCAGGGGATAGTGAAGAAAGACGTGGGCAAGGTACGAGGTGTGGTAATCTTACCTATAAAAGTCATTGTTTGTCTGTCTGTGTTTCTGACTATGTGGGTACCTTGTGACCTTTTATACTGACAAACTGTGGGGTTTACATATCTAAAAAGTACACGGATACCACGCGATATGCCTCGGGACGAAAAGCGCCATTCGTATTTCACATCTGTCAAGTTTAAAGTTGTTAAATTTACAATTTGTTCCTTTTATAAGCACAGGTGGTTACCCTAATAACGCACACACGCGATCAGTGAGGGGGAATTCTCATTCGCGTTATAAATGCAAAAAAAATACACAACGTCGAGGTAAATTCTTCAGTGTGATGTCATCTTCTCCACCCCCACCCCAATGTGTGCACTTACTACTATGGGGTCGGTAGATACTACTACTGTAGTCCTTAGATACTATTACTGTTGAGCGGGCGGGGGGTGGTGGGGGGGGGTAGCAGCCCAGCCCCAGCCTGCAAAGGTGCCACCTCGGCCTGCTGGGCAATCTAGGTGAGGCTGGGGCCTCTACACGGGACTAGGCCTCACCACGGCACTCTCTTAAGTTAGTAGTTAACTGCAATAGAGTCGATAGATACTATTATAGAGTTGGTATATACGACTATAGAGTCAGTAGATGCTACTGGAGAGTAAGCAGATACTGTTATAGAGTAAGCAGATACTGCTGTAGAGCCAGCAGATACTACTATGGAGTTAGTAGTTACGACTATAGTAAGTAGACACTACTATAGAGTAAATACGTACTACTATAGATTCAGGAGATACTACTTTAGGGTCAGCAATTACTACTATAGTCGGTAGATACTACTATAGAGTCTGCAAACACTGATATAGAGTCAGTAGATACTACTATGCAGTCAGTAGATACTACTATAGAGTCTGCAAATACTGATATAGAGTCAGTAGATACTACTATGCAGTCAGTAGATACTACTATAGAGTCTGCAAATACTGATATAGATACTGCTATAGTCAGCAGATACTACTATGAAGTTATTAGTTGCTACTATAGATTCAGTAGATACTACTATAGTCATTAGATACTACTGTAGAGTCAGTATTTACTACTATGGAGTTGATTGATACTACAATAGAGTCGGCAAAAAAACTACTATTGAGTCAATAGGTACTACTGCAGTCAGTAGATACCACTACGGTCAGTAAGTACTGCTACAGTCAGTAGATACTACTATACAGTCAGTAGATACTACTATAGAGTCAGTAGATATTACTTTAGAGTTAGTAGTTACTACTATAGTCAGTGGATACTACTATCATCAGTAGTTACTACTACCGTATGGTCGGTAGAGACTATTATAGTCAGTAGATACTGCTACAGTCAGTAGATACCACTATAGGCAGTAGATACCACTATAGGCAGTACTAGCTTTACTACCCGGATTTGCCCGAGACTTGGATTCTTGACTTGGATTAATACACGGCCTACGCGGAGGGTGGGGGGGGGGGGGTATGCGTGATGTCAGCAGCAGGCACACTGCGTAACGCTGCCGCATGCGGGTGACATCACAGATGTGACGTCACCGCTCACTTGCCGTGCAATATATTATATCCATTATTGCACCCCCCCCCTCCCCAATTTTGTTTTTTAGAAGGCTATTTTTCGACTTTTAGCATTGTGTACAGACTGGAAGCTACCCACATGCCAAATGTCAAGTTTGTAGCAATTTGGGAAGTATGCTAAACGATTTAGGCAATTCAGGAAGGGAATGACGTGAGAGCTGAAAATTGTCGCGTTCCCTTCGAAATTCCAGAAGCTGTGCAAATTTCATGACGTCAGAGCTCAGCATTGAAGAGTTTTTGCTGCTTCACGCAAACAGATGCATTTTCTGCTTTATTTTTAAGAGCGAGCTGAAAATAGTCACGTTGACTGAGAATATTGAGACAGCTGTGCCGCGTATTTGTGCGGCATACACGGCCTACGCGGAGGGTGGGGGGGTATGCGTGACGTCAGCAGGCACACTGCGTAGCGCTGCCGCATGCGGGTGACATCACAGATGTGTGATGCCACCGCTCACTTGTCGTGCTAAATATATCGATTATTGGATTTATTTTGCGGTTGAAACGTCGCAATCTATTAGATACTACAATAGAGTCAGTAGATACTGCTATAGAGTCAGTAGATACTGCTATAGAGTCAGTCGATACTACTATAGAGTCAGCATATACTACTATATAGTCAGTAGATACTACTGTAGAGTTAGTAGATACTACTATAGAGTTAGTAGATACTACTATAGAGTTAGTAGATACTGCTATAGAGTTAGTAGATACTACTGTAGAGTTAGTAGATACTACTATAGAGTTAGTAGATACTACTACAGAGTCAATAGATACTACTATAGAGTCAGTAGATACTACTATAGAGACAGTAGATACTGCTATAGAGTCAGTAGATACTACTATAGAGTCAGTAGATACTACTATAGAGACAGTAGATACTGCTATAGAGTCTGCAGATACTACTATAGAGTCAGTAGATACTGCTATTGAGTTAGTAGATACTACTATAGAGTCAGTAGATACTGCTATAGAGTTAGTAGTTACTACTACAGAGTCAATAGATACTACTATAGAGTCAGTAGATACTACTATAGAGTGAGTAGATACTACTAGAGAGTCAGTAGATACTACTATAGAGTCAGTAGATACTGCTATAGAGTTAGTAGATACTACTATAGAGTTAGTAGATACTACTATAGAGTCAGTAGATACTACTATAGAGTCAGTAGATACTACTTTAGAGTTAGTAGATACTACTATAGAGTCAGTAGATACTACTATAGAGTCAGTAGATACTGCCATAGAGTTAGTAGATACTACTATAGAGTCAGTAGATACTACTATAGAGTCAGTAGATTCTGCTATAGAGTTAGTAGTTACTACTAGAGAGTCAATAGATACTACTAACTCTATTGTATGTAAGGTGTGTAGGTATATATGCCTACGCGGGGGTACAAATATTTTTTCAGGGAGAGGTCGACAATTTTAGGAAACCTTTGAGATCAACTATTTACCCCCCACTTTCTATAACTTTTTGGACTTCTGCCAGCCTCTTATAATTTTGTTGACGGAGAAATGGACAGACAAATGACATGCCACGCTTTCACAATAGCTCCGTATTTGTGTATGTATATGTTATGTTTTTAAGATAAGGTTTGAAACGTATTTTTCCCCCGGGCAACGCCGGGTACTTTCCGCTAGTAGTAGAGAAGCAGTGGGAGCGACACAGGACAGCAGCCAGCTGCTGCGGCGCTGTCGCCATCTTCCACCACCACCGCCATCACCAGCCCATTGTTGCCGTCCACCGCATTTGCCCGCAGTGCACCTGAAGGTGTGCCAGGGTCTGATGGTGCTGTCGCTGGTGATGGGCCACCTGGGCACGGTGCTGGCGCTGCTGGGCATTAAGTGCTCGCGCTTCGGGGGACCCAACTGGCGGCTGAAGGCGCGGATCGTGGCCTCGGCAGGGGCCCTGTACCTGATCACAGGTAAGGGGACAAGCCGGTACCAGGAGACACACCGATACTACCAACGGACACGCCAGTAATACCACCAGATAGACCGGTAGTATTGCCGGAGACGCCATTATTAGCGATGACACTGGTGTTAGCGACCACTCCTTTACTACAGAACCTTCTGGTACTAATGGACACATCGGTGTTAGCAACCATGCCAGTACTACAGGACATTCTGGTACTACTGGACACACCGGTGTTAGCAACCACGCCAGTACTACAGGACATTCTGGTACTACTGGACACATCGGTGTTAGCAACCATGCCAGTACTACAGGACATTCTGGTACTACTGGACACGCCGGTGTTAGCGACCATGCCAGTACTACAGGACATTCTGGTACTACTGGACACACCGGTGTTAGCGACCACGCCAGTACTACAGGACATTCTGGTACTACTGGACACACCGGTGTTAGCGACCACGCCAGTACTACAGGACATTCTGGGACTACTGGACACGTCAGTACTACCGGACACGCAGATTCTACCGGACACGCAGATTCTACCGGACACGCCAGTACTGGCGGCCACATCGGCCCCCCCTTGGCCCTTTCCACTGTTCACTTATCCCCCCGTGCCCCCCCCCCCAAACGCCCCCCCAGGCCTGAGCTCGATGGTTGCACTCTCGTTCTACGCTCACCGCATCACCGTGGACTTCTACAACCCCAACCTCTTGGGCGCCCGGTGAGGGGGCGGCACCCTGGTGGCAGTGGTGTAGTGGTGGTGATAGCAGTGCAGTGGTGGTGGTGCTGGTGATGCAGTGGTGGTAGCTGTGCAGTGGTGGTGGTAGCGATGTGGTGGTGCCCCCTGCGGCTCACAACGAGAGGGCCCTGAGTTAGATTCCTGACTTGGGTAGCCTGGCTGTGTGGAGTGTGTATGGTCTAGCCCCGGGTCCGTGGAGGATGAGTGACTGAGAGTGAATTAGTCAGTGAGTGAGTGTGACTAGTCATTGAGTGAGTGTGAGTAATTGTGAGTGAGTGTGAATTAGTCAGTAAATGTGAGTAAGTGTAAGTGGGTGGGTGTGAGTGTGAATTAGTCAGTGGGTGAGTGTAAGTGTGAATGAGTATAAGTGAGTGTGAGTGAGTGGGTGTGAGTGTGAATTAGTCAGTGAGTGTGCGCTAGTGTGAGTGTGTGTGAGTGTGTGTGAGTGAGCGCTTGTGTGTCAGTGAGTGAGTATAGGTCTTGGGGCAGTTGTGGAGAGAGTGGAGAGCTTCCCTTACCTGGGCTGTGAGTTCATGACCGGCTCCGGTTTGACAGCAGAGGTCTCACTCCGAATCAGTCGAGCGGCATTATATTTTCATCGGTTACATAACGCTGTGTGGAAGCTACCTGGTCTGTCGTTCCGCACGAAGCTTCAGGGCTTCTCGGCCTTTCATTCCCCTCCCTTCTCTACGCTTGCGAAACGTGGACCCCCCTAATTGAACATATTTGCCGGTTAGAAACATTTAGGCTGACCTGCCTATGATCCATCCTGGGTTTAACCAGGCTGGATTGTGTGAGGAGCTCACAAATCCTTGAAAAATCTGGACAAAGTCCCATCGGTGAGCTCCTCTGGCAGGCAAGGCTGCGTTGGCTGGGCCATGTAGCCCGCATGCCCAGCCACCGCATGCTTAAACAACTTTTGTTCGGCTGGATAGAGGGGGCTAAATTGGTGTGGCACAGGCTAGAGAAGAGATGGAGTGATCTGGTACAAGAGGATGTGGAGCTGAGTGGACTTGCCGATGACTGGTACCAGCGGTGTCAAGATCGGCCTCTGTGGAGGAGGCTGGTGAACGACGCGACTGGGCAGTTGGAGGCAGTCGCTTTCCAACAACAACGGAGAGCAGAGGAGCGACGCTCACAACAATGAGCGGAACACCGGGTGGCTAAAGCACAGCAAGTTGGCACAGTAGGGGGCACAGGTGGTGCATCAGCCAGTCGTCTCAGTCAGTCGACCTGTGGCATCTGGGTCTGCCCCATAACCTCCTGCCAGCGGGCGTTCGACACTTCACGTGGCCTCAAGGAGCACATAGCCTGGCACAAGCGTCGTGGTGACGTCACCGCCATTTAGTGGCGAATGTCTGTTGTTGTTGTGAGTGACAGAGTGTGAGTGTGTGTGAGTGAGCGAGTATGTGAGTGAGTGAAAGTGAGTGAGTATGAGTGAGTGTGAGTTTGCGAGTGTGAGTATGAGTCCATGATTGTGAATTAGTCAGTGAGTGTGCGTGGGTGTAAGTGTCATGGTCCTCCTTTCTCTACGCTTAATGATAATGGTTCTTATGATGAAGATAATGATGCTGCTGATGATGATGTTGATGATGACGATGAGACTTCTCATGATGATGTTGATGATGACGATGAGAGTTCTTATGATGTAGATGATGATGATGATGGTTCTCATGATGTAGATGATGTTGATGGTGTTGATGATGTTGATGATGCTGATAATGATGGATCTCGTGATGATATTGATGACGATGATGGTTATTGTGATGACGGCAGTGTTAACGATGACGATGCTGATGTTGATGATAATGACGATGTTGACGATGTTGATGATGATCATGACGATGTTGATGAGGATTCTAATGATGACGATGGTGGTGATGACGATGTTGACGATTGTAATGATGATGGTGGTGGTGATGGTGGTGACGAGTAGGTTCGAGTACGGATGGTGCCTCTACATGGGGTGGGCCTCCTCCATCCTCTGCATCATCGGGGCCATCATCAAATGCTCCTCCTGCTACGGGGTGAAGGACGACACTCACAAGTGAGGGCCATCACCACCATCACTATCACCACCATCACCAACATCACCACCACCAACATCACCACCATCACCACCATCACCACCACCATTACCACCATCACAACCACTACCATGACCACCATCACCACCATCACCACCACCAACATCACCACCATCACCGCCACCATTACCACCATCACCATCACCACCATCATCACCACCATCACCACCATCACCGCCATCACCGCCATCACCACCACCACCACCATCACCACCATCATCAACACCCCTACGACTAATATCAACACCATCACCACCATCACCACCACCATTACCACCATTATCACCACCACCATGACCACCATCACCACCATCACCACCATCACCACCACCATTACCACCATCACCACCACCACCATTACCACCATCACCACCATCACGATCACCACCATCACCATTACCGCCATCACAGCCATCATCACCACCACCACCACCATCACCACCACCATCATCAACACCCCTACGACTAATATCAACACCATCACCACCATCACCACCATCACCACCACCATGACCACCATCACCACCACTACAATGACCACCATCACCACCATCACCACCACCAACATCACCACCATCACCACCACCATTACCACCATCACCACCATCACCACCATCACCACCAACACCACCACCATCACCACCATCACCACCATCATCAATACCCCTACGACTAATATCAACACCATCACCACCATCACCACCACCATTACCACCATCACCACCACTACCATTACCACCATCACCACCATCACCACCACCAACATCACCACCATCACCACCATCACCATCACCACCATCACCATCACCACCATCACCACCACCACCATCACCACCATCATCAACACCCCTACGACTAATATCACCACCATCACCATTACCACCATCACCACCACTAGCATGACCACCATCACCACCATCACCACCACCAACATCACCACCATCACCACCATCACCACCATCACCACCACCATTACCACCACCACCATCACCACCATCACCACCATCACCACTATCACCATCATCAACACCCCTACGACTAATATCACCACCATCACCACCATCACCACCACTACTATGACCACCATCACCACCATCACCACCACCAACATCACCACCATCACCACCATCACCACCACCACCATCACCACCATCACCACCACCATCACTATCACCACCACCATAACCTCGACCAATATCACCACCATCAACCCAACCAATATCAACACCATCACCACCATTATGACCGCTATCACTACCATCATCATAACGATCACCACGTGCACCGCCACCAACACCACCCCTATCAATACCATCACCCCAACCAACTGCAATACCATCACCACCACCAATATCAGCACCATCACCTGCATCATCACCATCACCAACATCCAGACAAGGATCCCGCTTATAGCCTTAACAGACGACGGCCGGCATGGCACACGAGGGGGTGGGTGGCCAGCACCACGCCCGGCCGCCTTTGTCTCTACAGTGGCGATGTTCACACACCGCACCAGCTACTCATTTGAGGCTGAGTCGACCTAGGGGAGGCCGAGGACCGGTTTAGGTAATCGCACTGATGTTGGCGGCCACGAGCAGGAATCGAACTCGGGTAGCTGTGTTTGTAGCGCAGAGCGCTGACCACTACGCCACCGCTCCCCGCAAATGGATACAAATGATAGCTCAACCAAAGTGGCTTATCATCGCATGGACATTTATAGCAGGAGCCGCATGCTCTGAAGTCTAAACGCCGCGATGTCGATTCTGAATGTGGAGGGAAAAGCCGAAGGACTCTGGGAAAAATCCACACGACCAAGGGGGAGAGAAGACACGCAAACTCCAAATATACAGCAGCAACAGGCATCGTCAGGGTCGGTATCGAACCCACGACCTCCTGGAGACCAGGCGAGGTAGTTATCATCTCCTAGCCAATGTGATGATGATGAGGGAGAGAGACACGCAAACTTCAAATATACAGCAGCAGGCATAGTTAGGGTCGGGATCGAACCCACGACCTCGTGTATACTCAGTGTGTGTACATGTACCGAGTGTGTGTGTCGCATCACCGACACCCTCCGACCCGCTGCCAATACAGCGGCTGCTGTATTGGCAGCCAGGGCGGCTGTTTTTTTTTTTTTTACGGAGAAGGTGAGGTGATGTAGTGACATAGCGCCGACTGCTGTCCAGCAGTCAACTGCGGTGGACAGTTAGCGCACACGCCGTTGAGCATACACACGGTGTGTGTGCCGGCAGGGTGGAGGAGCTGGGGCAAGGGTCACGGAAGACCTCGTCGGGAAGCCCAAGGATCCCGCTAGTGGGTTTGAGAAGGGAGGCGCGGCCAGGGCAGAGCCAGGCCGCGGCGAGGAGGATAAAAGCAGCGGAGAGCGGGAGCTCCAGGCTGCCGGTTCTGGGAGTGGACTCATCTCGCCGTCGTTGTCGTCTTCGCTGCATTCATCGCTGGCGCCTTCACCCGATGATTGTGCAGCCGGATTGTTGTTGGCTGTTTCAGTCGACCCCGTCGGTGTAACGCGGTTAGGGTTGTGTCTAGGCTGGGCTGTATGGCAACGACAAGGAAGGAGGGGAGCAGCTACGCATCTGTGGGGAGAGCGGCTATGCATCGGCGGGTAAGTAGCTACACATCTGCGGGAGAGTGGCTACGCATCGACAGGAGAGCGGCACAATTTTCCACAGTCACACGCCGACCACGTGGCATGGTGGAGGACCGCAGTGTCGAGAGGGGCGCGGGACGTCGCGGAAGGCGCGCGGTGATCAGCGGCGCGGAGAGGAGTCACAGGGAGACCCCGGCTGGAGCTTTCGTCGGATCGGAAGCGGAGGAGCCCAGACTGGAGACCGTGCACATGGTGGGCACCATCTTGCCCCTGGAAGGCCTACCGTGGTCAGCGAGCATGGGAACGCGCGGAAAGGGCGCAGAGGTTGGCGGCGCTGCAATGGGCCGTTTTTGACCTTCCACGGGAGGCCGGCACAAGGTTCCTCCAGGGAGAGTTAAGCGAGGCCGAGACACCCTACGCTTTCCAGGAGGCGCTGCCGGTGCTGGGACAGGAAGCATACCCGCTCGTGGGTGAGGGGGCGCTCCACTTCCAGGTGGCGGAAAGGCTGAGGGCGCTGGCGCGGGAGTTGAAGATCGCCCTGCCCGCCGCCGCCGGCACAGAGATCTCGTCCTTAACGGCGGCCCTGAAAAATTAAAGCCTACGAGGACCACCAGCATCGGTAAAAGGTGGAGGCTGAGCCATGGCGGATGGAGGACACGATGGCTGCGTTGGGTGGCCGGGAGACGCGCATGAGAGGGTCCCCGCGGGTGGACTGGCGGCCGGGGCAGTCCCTCCCACCCTGGTAACCCACGGCCAAGTCTTTCATGTGTGGCCGGTCGGGCCACATCTCTCTAGAGTGTTGGGGTGTCAGCGGGGCACCGGCAGTGTCTCCGACACCCTCCGACCTGCCGGCAGCGTCTTCCCAAGCCCCACCGGACCCGGGTCTCTGAGGCCCTCCGAGACCGCAATGTGCGAGGTCTCGGGGACCGGATCTGGACAGCTGTGGCTGAAAATTCAGGGAGGGGCCGCACCCTTTAGGCCACGGGTTCCTTCTTCCTCCTTCATCTCTCCCCAATTTTCAAACTCCCAGGGGCGCAAGACCCTGCTAAGGTGGGGGTAACCGGTATCAAGGACCGGCTCACGCGAGCTACGTTCCGATGAAAGCGGACTCTCCCTTGCACTGTGGGATTCGGGGGAGAGGGGGTGTTGGGGGTAAGGGCCTGTGTAAGGGGTTGCGTTGGGTGTGTTGTCAGTTTGCGGGGGGGGCGTCGCGTTGTGCTGTGTGCTGTCAGGTTGCGGGGAGAACCACGTTGGGCTGTGTGTTGTTGGTTCGCCGGGGGGCACTGTCCACCGGTTTCAGCTGCTGATGTAGTGACATAGCGCCGACTGCTGTCCAGCAGCGCAAACTGTGGTGGACAGTTAGCTGACACACCGTTGAGCATACACACACGGTGTGTCACGGCAGGGTGGCAGAACTGTGGCAAGGGTCACGGAAGACCTCGTCGGGAAGCCCCCGGAACCCGCTAGTGGGTTCGAGAAGGGAGGCGCGGCCAGGGCGGAGACAGGCCGCGGCGAGGAGGATAAAAGCAGCGGACAGCGGGAGCTCCGGGCTGCCGGTTCTGGGCGTGGACTCGTCTCGCCTTCGCTGTCGTCTTTGCCACCTTCGTCGCTGGCGCCTTCACCCGATGATTGTGCAGCTGGAGAGTTGTTGGCTGTCTTGGTCGATGCCGTCGGTGTAACGTGGTTAGGGTCGAGTCTAGGCTGGGCAATACGGCAACGAGAAGGAAGGACGGGAGCCTGTGTGAACCTGAAGAGTGTTAATAAGAAGGTGCCTCCTGCAACCACCTTGACTGGTGCTACACTACATACAGTGAGGGAAAAAAAGTATTCGTTCCCCTGCTGATTTTGTACGTTTGCCCACTGACAAAGAAATGATCAGTCTATAATTGTAATGGTAGGTTTATTTGAACAGTGAGAGGCAGAATAACAACAACAAAATCCGGAAAAGCGCATGTCAAAAATGTTATAAATTGATTGGCATTTTAATTAGGGAAATAAGTATTTGACCCCCTCTCAATCAGAAAGGTTTCTGGCTCCCAGGTGTCTTTTATACAGGTAACGAGCTGAGATTAGGAGCACACTCTTATAGGGAGTGCTCCTAATATCAGCGTGTTACCTGTATAAAAGACACCTGTCCACAGAAGCAATCAATCAGATTCCAAACTCTCCACCATGGCCAAGACCAAAGAGCTCTTAAAGGATGTCAGGGACAAGATTGTAGACCTACACAAGGCTGGAATGGGCTACAAGACCATTTCCAAGCAGCTTGGTGAGAAGGTGACAACAGTTGGTGCGATTATTCGCAAATGGAAGAAACACAAAATAACTGTCAATCTCCCTCGGCCTGGGGCT